AAAAAGGAAAGATACAATAAAATTCTCTAGAGTTAAAAAAAAATTGTCTCAAATTTCTTAACAACTGGAAAATCACTTCATTGTTAAATCATTTGTACAATATTTTGGACACTTTTCTCTCTTGAGACCTCAGAGTTATGAAAATAAACATTTTAGTGTTGCATATCTCATACATTGATGCATTTTACTCTCAAGTACAGATGAATTTGTGGTTTGGGTTCAGGGAATGAATTTTAATTCAAATCATTTCCTTCCATGGTATGTATGTTTATGCATCACAGAAAGTTGACCACAGTATCCTAACCATCTCAATTAATCTTCACTTTAGAAATTATGTTTTTGACTGAGTCAAAAAACACCTCTTCATTTCCTTGATGCGAAACAAATCCCTCTGCTTTGATTAAGAGCAATTAGAGTGGATAGTGATAGTGAATGTGCAGCTTCCAGCACTATGTATCAAATGGTTACGGGCTTTGGCGCCCAGCCAGGCTGCCAGACTGCTTTTCATGGTGTTACTCCACTGGCAGGACCTCTGTGACATTTGTGCCTTGACACCAGAAGTGCTGACAGCTGCTGAGCCAGTAGTGTAAACTCTCGAAATCCCCCCCCACCTTTTTTTTTTTTTTTTTTTTTTTTTTTTTTTTTTTTTTTTTTTTAGCTTTATCTGCTTTAAGGGAGTCTTAGGCTTCTCAGAGTACAGAGTCTGCAAACTGACTTCAGCCACTGGCTCTGTGAAGGTATTTTTAGGTGACATCTGGAAAGTAGTTTGTTCCATGACATTGATTTTTGGGGAGATAAAAGATTTTTGAGATGGAAGACACATGTGGTGAATGTGTAACAAATGGCAGTAAAGGTTGCTCTGGGAGTTCATGGCTTTGTGAAATGAAATATTTCAACAACCAATTTTTTGCTCAGTTATTTGCTCCTGGCAGCCCCTTTGACCTTGCTAACTGAGGGACCCCAAAAGGACTATAGAAGAAAAATTGTAGTTATCTTGAAGCTGAATCGTATTCTTAACTAATAGTGACAGGTAAAACAGTATGACTTCTAGTGGCTGCAACTAATGACAGAGCTTTGGGCTACAAAAAATCAGAAAGGTCAGAAGGCAAGTATACACGTATGAGAAAGGAGTCAAGTGACAAAAGGTTGAGAGCAACATTAGAAGCTTATTTTTGGAAAATTTTTCAGTTGCTCTTTGTGTTTTCGGGGTTATTGATGTGCCAGTGTGCTGCTTACAATTGCATGTTCTCTAGAGAGCGCAGGAAGAAACACAGCTACTTACTATCAGTGAGCCATTCTGCACTGGTGGCTTGTAAAAAATATAGTAGACACCTTTTTCATCATTGTAGCATTGTTACCATCTCTGTCTTACAAATGGGAAAATTCTTCAGTTAAACATAATTAACTTTCCATAGTTTGAAGAATGTTCAGGAGATAGTCTATAAAAATCAACAGTTTCTATAAGAAAACTTTCCACAAATGTTTTAATCACTAATACTTTATATAGCAAATCAAAATTTTGAACAAAAAGTCATGTTTTTAATTTGATAACTAGTCTTCCTTTTTGCATATTTCTGGAAAATATATTTGAAAGCTCATTGCATATATGCAATGAAAAGGTCGTTAAATAATATGTACGTGCCCACAAATTTAAGAGACTATTTGAAAGACATGTATTTTCTTAGTAACTGTAAATAAAACCACAGGAAAAAGGAGAAAAATCTATAAGCATAATTCTTTTACTGTAGCCATTACATTCTGTTTTCTTCATGACTGATCTGACCTCCAGAGAAATTGAGGTAACTCTGCAACATTGTGCAACTAATGAATGGCATTCAGCATCCAGTTTCCAGTTCTGGGGTTCTTTCTAATGCACCATCCTGAACATGCTCAGAAAGTCACAACATGAGAGAGATTTCCCAGAGTGCATGTTGTGATTTATGTCAAGATGAAACTGCAACTGGAGAAATAATGAATAAATTAATTAAATGATAGTATCATAGGAATTTCAGAACCATTTGAGGTTTAAGCACATTTTTGGTAATTGATTCTCCATTGGACAAATGAAGAGAGACTCACATATTCCAAAAGATCCAGAGGGAAGTCTGAATTTTTTTTTTCATTTCATTGCTAATGAGCCATTTTCACCTGACTTCTGCTTCCATCGCTCCCCTTGAAGAACCAGCTGTCAATTTCCACAGTTGAGCAGGTTTGGTACCAGACAGGTGGCCACAGGGTGGAGAAGACATTATGTCAGTGGAATGTATTTAATCTCGAATTAGGATGATCCACCTGGTATCATTAAAAAGTAACTGCACATCATGAATGATTAACTACAATATAATCAACACTCAGCACTTAAACTCAAAATATCCTTGAAGTGATAAATAAGAGCATGTGGCATTAATTGAATATTTGAGAAGTCTTACATTCAGTGCTAGATCAGTAAAGTCCATTTTAAAATGACATATTTTTATACCTAATTTTAGGAACTGTGGCTTGAATTATATGATTCCAGATCATATTTATACATTTTGCAACCTGTATATTATAGATTTTCTGAAAACTTTCTTGTTATTAGTAACACTGATTTGCAGTTTAAAATACCAATTGGAAATGTGTGATAACCTGTGATACTTAATATGGATATATGTATGGTCACTAGTGTTATGATTAGTTTTTATTTTGAATTTTATAATTTTATCATTTTAAATTCTTAATATAATTTAGAAAAGTTTCTGTATCCATCAAATAATATCCTTAACCACATGACTCAGCTTATCTTCCATGTCCTCACTATAACTATCTGTGCTTCATTTATTTATTATTTTTCTTCAATATAGAAGTCACCTTCTCCTGAAAGCTTTCCTTGAATGTCTAGTAATGGGCCGGATGGTGTCTCTGTGACTTCACAGCACATAGAACAACCCTTGTTATAGCAATTATACAATATTGGAAGTGACTGTTTACAATCACTTCAGTGAGCTGATGTCTTATTGAACAAAACAGCACATATAATCAAGATTTTTATTTTGTTTGCTTTTGAATTTTTTTATTTTAAAGAGAAAAACCAATAAAAATAATACAGAATTTATAACAATACAGGAAATTAGCAGTGGTTAATACATAGCATATCGTTATTTTCAAGGTAGTTGCTCAGATTACAAGATATAGGCATGCAAAATTGATCAGTGTAATGGACATATTGTAGTGGACACATAAAAAATGTATGTTTGTAGAGTCAATTAATTGCATACATATTATGAAATAAAGAACTGTGAGTACTAAATTACCCATGTCCATTCAAATATATTTCCTATTGGATATTTGAGACATCATTCTGCTATAGTGTGAAGAAAATTTTGAAGTGGGCTAAGAATGAAATCCATGAAGACAAATTTATTGGCAAATACAGAACAATGCATGTTAAAAAATGGATTTTGGAAGTGAAGAAGAAACAGAAGAAACAGAGTTGATATATATATATATATATATATATATATATATATATATCAATTAGATGTAATTATGTGATGATTTCCAAGATGATGAAGGATGAGGGGTCAGAAATGGCTTTAAAATTTGTGTCTTATATGGCAGAGTGGGGGTTAAAATTATACACAGAGAGTGAAAGCAAACACTAGAGTATGAGAAGATCATTGTGGGGTCATTAGGAAGGATCATTACAGGAAGTAGACATAGTTTCTACTTTAAGGGTTAGATATGTTAATTTTGTCACAAATTTGAAAAACTCGAGAAAATAGCATAAACTTGAAGACTGTTTTATTTTGCTTTGTTTTGTTCACATGTCAAAGAGATAGCCAGGAAGGGGATTATAAAAGATGAATTAAAGAAGACCAGGATGAAACGTGGATGAATCCAACACTAAGAACTTTCTTGCTATATTAAGGAAAAAGATAAATGGAATACTGAGATGGAAAAGAAAACAATGAGGAAATAATGAATGTGAGGTGTAAAAGTGAAATAGTACCTATTAATATTGTTTTTGTGACCCCACGTTTATGTTAGAAAGTGTGAATTTGGGTAGTAGTTAAAGGATGTGACATTTAGAAAGTACAGTAGTGCAGTAGTCAGAAATCTTATATGGACTCAGAAAATTGCTGACTTTTACCAGTTTGTCCAATAAATATAACAATTTCCCGTAGGTACAACTGATGTAAACATGAATCAAAACGATCATGCTCTTTGATGAAGACTATTAGCAACTTAAATATTTTTATCAATCTTATTAAAATATACCTCAGCTTTATCTTCATTGTTCTTAAAATGGAATCTCAGTTGAGAGACTCTGGTCATTCTGAAGTCATTTATCTAATGTTTCCAAATCTGCATTCCAGGTTAGAATTGCAGATATGTTATCTTTATGGGGATTTTGTTCTTTTGTCAGGCTGGCACATTCATAAATATATAAAATTATAAATGTTACAGAAATACAAGTTTTGTTGAATGAGAATTTCATTAAACAATGCATTTATTAAAATGAAACAGAGACGGCTCCACAATGCTCATTTTTTGCAAGTTACCAAAATAATATGCAAACAATTTTCTCAAAATACTTTAAGATATGAATCATTCAGAAACTTTTAAGAAAGAAGTGCTTTCAATTCCTTACATAAAATAAATAATAACAATAATACTACAGATACTAACCTTAGAACAAATTATTATAAAATAATTATAGAAACCATGAAAAGAGGAAGTTATTAAATAATCTATGATTATACATGAAAACTTAGTGTTATTATTCTACTTTACTATTAAATAAAAATTAGGAAAAACAATCCAAACAGCAGCAATTAAATATGTCTATTTTGAAATATTTTAAATATTTTTGCTATGGACAAAAGTCATAATTATTAGATGTAAAACTGAATAGAACTATGACTAAAAATGTTTAATAACAAGAAAGTTTTGCTTAAAGAAAGAACATTGAAATTGGGATCATTTTAATAAGAGCATTATATATTTTTTATTAACAGGTGTTCTTAAAAGATTGCCATTTAATGTCATTGAAGATCTATAGAACATCATTTTTGCATGACTACTGCAAAAGCACTACTTTACAGAAGCCAGTTCCTTTTTCAAGAGGACAATTTGGAACCTGCTTCAGAAAGCAGGTACTGTTTTTTTTTATTAAATACCTTTTAATTAATGTTGAGGAGAGTCATCAGCCTGAAATCCTTGTGAGTCTGTTATATAGCTCTTCAGTTTTTTAGCTTTATCTGTATGGTTGCAGCTTGGAATCTTACATATCCAAGTTGAGTATTTGTCTTTTCTTTGAAAAGAAAACAACTTCCTTGGTACAGTAAGCATTACTGCTATAAATATCCTAGATTTATTAAAGAGAAAATGGTAAAATATTTTGTTTTGATTTGATTTTTCATTTAATGTGAGTAGAATTTTACACAGAGAGGTTGTGGTATTGTTGAAAGCAGCAAAAGAAACAATACTGTTGCCTCCTGTTTCGTATCTTTTCTGGTGTTTTTCAGTTTGAAGGTAGCAATTAAAGTGAATAAGCAGAAAATTGTGGTAGAGATGTAGAGCAATCTCCATCAGTGCAGAGCATCTCTTAAGGAAGAGAGCTTTGATGCTATTTGCTTATGAAATTCATATATGATCAACAAAAATTACTAAATATCAAATGTGCATATTTTAAGCAAAACTTAACATTGTTTTAATTTAATAACAGTTCTTTAAAATACGGGATGGACATATATTTTATATTCATGACCAAAGGAGCACAGACTCTCTCGGATTAAATCCACTGTGTACTACTTAAATACAATACTTATGATGTAAGTTTTAGAGTCAACCAAGGAAGGGAATTCATTCTGCATGCCAACCTCTGATTTATCCATATTTTCTATTCATAAAATTTTGACAATATCATTCTCAGTTTCAAAGGTGTCACATACCTATCCTCTAATTTGTCAGGTTAATTGATCAAAAGTTTTGGACAGTTTACTCTCCAGAATTTTCAGTCTCCTGAAAATTGATTACAAATTGGGGTAAATGAAAGAATGTGACTAAATCTCTTTTTGGAGAGCTGTTGTATGGGAAAATAGAAGGATCATAGTTTTACCAATAGGTTTTATTTTTTTTTGCTACTAGCTACATTCAGATTCTGGCAATTCACTGCAGAAAATTTTACATTTCATATGTATTATATTCATTGCATTGAATTGTGCAATGTGCAATTTGATTGAAGTTTTTTAATATAACAGCTGTACTTAGATTTGTGGAGGATAACAACCATGCATTTTCTTAAAAAATAGAAAGGTAGATAGACAGACAGGCAGATAAATAGAAAATTAGATAACAGGAGAAGAGAATGGAGAGAGAAAAGATGAAATCCCAAACTATGGTACAAAAGTGAGTTTTCCCAAACTAAAGCATTGCTACAGTCTAACATTCGAATAATATAAGACAGTCTTTTCCATAGTACTTCTGCTTGGTACAAAAAGAATCATCTCAAAATAAGTTCTTTATACAAAATAAAATTAATTTAATAATCTGCAGTGTATCTACAATTTGTTCATAAAGTTTTTGCCCTTCACTCTTAATCATGATTCCTCTTAAAATGAACTCCACATTAATTGTATCCTTCATAAAAATCAGTGAATAGTAGAAAAAATTAAAACTGCACACCTTGTTTGCATTTTGCAATGTTAGAAACAGGTTATTTGTGGTGCCTATGACGTTAAAAAAAAAGGCCTCTGAATACAGCATAGCAGTTGGAGGAAAGGAGGGTTTCAGTGCTAGTGCTTACATCAGATAGATGATGGATATGCCATTTAAATTTATGCTAGACTTATCAGGAGATGGAACTAGAATAGAGTAATTGATTTGACCATCGGTGAACTGGTATATTCTATCAGTTATTAACTGAATTGTATGGAATTCATGCATTTTAACAAATTGCAATTTTTGAATGGAGTCTTTTTTGTCAACTTGTTAAGATGTTCTGGTTTCAAACAGAGGATGCAGAGCATATGTAACTGTACAAGAAACATATGGAAGCTGACTCAGCAGAGCATAGTTCACTCGAATCTTGTCACTCTTGCTGGTGCTCCTCCCAACTAATTGAAAAGCATGTTGGTAGAATAGGAAGCAGTTGAAATAAATGACAGACGCAGAACAGTGCGAAGCAGTCATAAGTGAATTAAAATTGATGGATCTGATTAGACTGGATTCATGGTGTCACTTTAAATAAAATTCCACTTCATTCACGCACTTGCAAATAATCTGTCATACAATCATGAAAAATATTCAAGGGAATGACTAACAGCTTCATCCTGACTCAAGTATTGAAATCTCTGTCCTGATAAGATGCTACACATATTGAGAGGTCCTTAGTTCATCCTTTCAGAATGATATGTCTCTCTCTGTAACTTACAAGATGCTTTCCATAAACCTTGGCTCAGTTCCAATAAGGAGAACTCTGTTCTTTAGAGAAAAGCCTCAGTGGTCCAGTTTAAGAGCTGACAATTTTCTTTTCACTGTGAAAGAAAACCTCCTTTTTATCCATATATGAAATTAGAATACTATACATAATAAGAATATAGTTGTTCTTTAAATTTTAAAAGTAAAAAAAATCAAATTTTCATCATTCATAGTTTTGAAGATTATATGAAATTAAAGAAAAACTTTTTGTATATACTGCTTTATGAATAAGAATTTTGTAAATCAGCAATCTTTCTACTTTTTAAAATGTTTGTACTATGACATCCATGATTAACTTAAAATAATGAGAGAAACTGCATTGAGATAATATTGTCTGAACATCATAAAGAAGTTTTTAACAATGGCAGTGTTTCTCATAATCAATGGAAAAGGGCAAGTTTTAACTGTCAGAAGGGGAGGTGGAACACTTCTTCATAAACTGTTATTCAGTAATAATAGCTTAATTGATTTTGAGGTGTTTGCTATAACATTTATATTTTGCTATTTGTAAAAACTTAGGTATTTTATTTTATTTTTTTATTTTAAAGAGATTAAGACAAAAGAGGGCAGAACAAACCAGATCAGAAAAGAACAATGTAAGCAACACAGCACTTCCAACAAGACAACTGGATATTAACAGTAGCTACCATACTGTCTCTTTCTTTGAAATAGTTGAGCGTACCTTCTCATCCAATAGTATCAAACAAAACAAAATAGTATAAAACCATTCAAGAGAATGAAATTATTATAGGGTATCCAGAACCAAATACAGAAAATGAACAATGACTACTATATTATCTCATTTTCCATAGAAAATTTGTTTATACTATCACACATATCAATATCCAATTAGACACAACCTGATAGAAGCAATGGAAACAGAAGAACAAAAATGGCACGACTTCAAAGCAAGATGATATTAATTCAGCAATGGCTTCCATTATGTCTTGTTTTCTTCTAAATAGCTGTTCATACCATCACACATAATAAAATCAAACAAAATAGAATAAAATCATTTCAACTAATGAATGAAAATGGTAAGTCTTCAAAACAATGTAAAGGGGAATCATGATTACCATAAAATCTTATTAGGTATGTATTTTAAACCACACTTGTATCTCTTTTAATAATAGTATACTTTGAAAAATTTTATAGCCAATAAGAAATATATGAAGATGTCTAAGTAGGTGAAGTACAATAGAGTGCTTGAAGAAGTAACTTATCTTATGCTATGAAATATTACACAATCTAAAGTTATATAAATTTCCTAGTCAGTGTTTATCTGTAATTATCAGTGGTGGAAATGAGAGAGTTGGTTTAAAGGCAATGTAGTGGATTGTCCCAAATTCCAGCTTATTCTTAGAAGATATATTGATAAATAAATATTTCTAAAATATGGCTCTTCAGGATGTGAGGGAAAACTTATTTTGTACAGAGAAGAAAGTAAAAATCAATAAATTGTAGTGGCATAATATAACAGAGATGAAAGGCAATCATAAATTGTGAACATACACTTTGGTTAACTGAATGAATACAAACTATTTCATGCATACTTACCAAGTAAATAGTATCTCTTGTTAAATTTTAATATTCTGAAGCAGACTCATAGAAATGCAAGAAATATTTACAAATAATCTAAATTGTTCTGCACTATACCTTTGAATGCCAAGGAAAATTGTTCAGACAAGGCAAAATCCAAACTGACTCTTTGGAATAGTTTTGTTAGCATAAGAAAATTTCCTTCCAATCCTGGTCCCATACAAGTGATGAAAACAGTCTGAATGCTGTATCACCTGAATTCTTTAAGGCTATCCTACAATATGTGAGAGGTATTTTTGAATGAGTCGGAAACTCAGTTGATTTCTCTGTATTCAAACTACTATAGAAGGAGAAATCTAGACTGACAAGTGATTAATAAGATACAGATTCTCACAACTATCATATTTGCTGCATATATTGAGGCAGGCATGACACATGGAGAGAGTATAAGATTTTGATTGAGACGAATTTAGAATCTAATATGTTACATTACTAGCTTGAGCTCTTAATTTTATGAAACTCAAAATTTCTTCAACTGTAAAAGTGGATAAAACTCATGTTTACAAGAATGCACACTTTAAATAAAATGTATGTGTACTTATATATACAATGAAACAATTGACATATCTTTGAGTGCTTTGTGGAAGGTGCTCAGATGTTTGTTATTTTGAGAAAATAAGTACCATAGTCTTTTCCTCTCTGAGTAGAACGAAACTTCATTGAAAGTCTGACAAAGTTTCTGAAAACAAAGATAAGATGAGAAAAAGATAGTGGAATGGAGACAAAGAGGAAGTGGGACAGTGAGGGGGGAAAATAAAAGAGAAAGGGGAAAGAGAAAGGTTAGAAATAGATGGGCCTCTTAGCATTAATAATGTACATCTAGATTTTTGTAGGATGTAAGACTAACATAAAAAATGTTACCGTTCTCTGTGTCAGAAATCATCATAATATGAAAAAATCAAAATCCTCCCATTCATAATTGAAATGATGATGATGTAATACTGTGCTTGGTTGTGATTGATGCAGAACACTGTTTCTTAAGTCTCAAATATATAAGATAGCCTAAATGGCTGACAACTGTTTTTCTTATTACCCATGCTCAAAAAGTTACATGCATGCCATTCCAAAGAGACAC